TAATACCTATAAATAAAATTCAATTGTCGTATAAAATCATTTGCTGAAGTTGTGTGAAAACACAAACTAGAGGTAGTGGAAATTAAAGGAGGAACTGAGACACCATTGGATAATGGACATTTCTCCTTGAAATTTAAAATTGATGGAATTAACAATGTTTCAGGCCAGGATACAAGTTACACACAAACAAAATAACATAATAACGCATAACTCTGCAACAGTAAGATGATAAAATCAGCCACTTTCAAGAGGAGAAATAACAATGGACACCCAACAGAACAAACATATCCAAAAGCAAACCGTGTATTCTCTTTAAGAAAGCTTTCTCTTTTGCTTATGCTGATCCAAATTCTGCAAACCACTTCTCGTGCTTTTCAATATCGGCTTGAGATACACTTCGCTGGACCTTTACCAAGGCTTCTTCAAAGTCACACATTGCGACAGGGTCCTTTGAAATCTCATCCTTGGACATGTTCTTAATCTCATCACGCGTCTTTCCAGCAATTTTTCGCCTCATACCATTCAAGGAAGCATCCCGGCAAACATTTGTGAGATCATCACCACTATACCCTTCTGTTCGACGAGCCACTTCATCAATATCAACATCAGGTGCAACCTATCACAGATATAACTTAGTAAAGGGCTTCAATTACTTTGGGATCAAAATTGATCAAAAGAAAAGGTGACATTACACAGACTGAAAGACAGACTAACTTTCTAAGGTAAAAGATAGGACATCTATTCAACTCTAGTCATTAGTTCTGATATAAGACGTTGGATGGGCAAGTGTACCCTTGCACTCCAATTTTATAAATGTTTTTGATTCATCAGGAAGAAAAAAAAAATGGAGCATCAAGACACCTGAAAAGATGGGATGCCATCTCAAACTCGAATTTCCAAATCACAAAATTATATGATGTCTGGTGATCTTGCAAGTAGCCTACTCAATACATAGAGAGCAGCTCACGAAGGCAAAACCACAAGCAGCACAGGCTGGATTAAGTATTCATAGATCTATTCCATCACATGTAAATAATTCCCATGAAACATGCAACAACGCAGATAAAAATTGTAACTTGGAATTCATAGTGGATTGAATGTTAAAAATACGAAAACCAGAAAAACTTTGAATTTATAGCTTATTTTGAGCATACTCAAAACGGGGAAATATCAAGCCAACCAAGTTGTCCATTTCATCAAGGTTTTCGTCAAAAGAACAATGCCAGAAAAGGACTGGGTAAAGCCTTCAGCTTTCAGCTAATTTTTCTGTCAGCAATTTTTAGTTTTGATGTACCAACATATATCATGTATCCATTGCATAAATGAATCATTTTTGTTTTTCCTCAAAAAAAATTGCATATGAATCAAACTACATAAAGACAAGAAGAAGAAATTAAATACAGAATTAAGAAACATTAATGAAAAGTGATTAATATTATAGTCTTATTTCAAGAATATAATGAAATCAGTTGATTGTGAAGAACTTACCTCAACTGTCTTCAAATTGATCCTAATAAGCTCCTTACGACTCTCAAAATTGGGGAGAGGAATATATATACGCTTTTCCAGTCGCCTCCTGCATCAGATGAAGACCAAATTAGACAATCAGAAGAGTAAAATGGAAAAACAAGACAAAGATCTCACAGGCATATCATAGGACAAGACCTAGAGAATTCAAAGAATGAGAATATATCACATAAGATATATATGTATATGCACAAAAGATAAAGTGGATGACCTGAGAGCCTCGTCTATGTCCCATGGGAAGTTAGTTGCTGCCAGTACCATCACTATTTTACGGCTACCATCTTCATTTGTGGCAGTATTATTCACACCATCTACCTGAACAAGAAGTTCAGACTTCACCCTTCTAGATGATTCATGTTCCCCTGATGCCCTGAACACATAATATTTATAATTAGAGCCAGCCAGAATTAAGACAGAAAATAACCACTAATATCATATTTCAATACATAAAATACTTATATCCTCATTTCAAGGAAAAATTACCTAATGCCATAGTTAATGGTAACCAAATGTTTAAAGGAACACATTTGATTGACAGGAGGAATAGTAACTCATTACAGGTCTATTCCAAATGGAATGGCTATTCATATGTTTAGCTTCAAGAAAATCAAATGGAATTTATCTATTTTGCAGGAAGGAGCAAAGATGAGAACAGAGAGTAATGTTGATATTGTACAAGGGTAATTCAGTAATTTTTAAGTTATATGGTCTCTGTTTAACAAGTTATTTGTATACACCAAACATGGTTTTAATAAGAATAACTATTTCACCCATGAACCAGACAGCAGGAAGGGTATTCCTGCCCTGTTCAGTTCTCATAAAAAGCCCATTTACCCCATATTATATCCAAATAAAGAGTAATCTGAAACTTACCCACGGGCATTGCAAAGAGAATCAATTTCATCAATAAAAATTGTACTTGGTGCATAAGCTCTTGCAAGATCAAACAAGCACCGAACCATGCGCTCACTCTCTCCACGCCACTTAGAGGCTAATGTAGCAGATGAAACATTGAAAAATGTTGTACCACACTCAGTGGCAACAGCTTTAGCCAGAAGAGTTTTGCCAGTACCAGGAGGGCCAAACATAAGAACCCCTTTCCATGGTCTTCTAATTCCCTGAAAGAAAATAACAGTGAGCTTATCCTGACAACTAGATGTGCCCATGAGAAAATAAGCATTTATAGCATGTTAGAAATGGTTTGGATGGGACAGGAATATGCACTAAGTTCCTAAATTCTTTTAAACTTCTGACTCATTCCAAAGAATGGTTTTCATGTTCAACAGGCCTAATATTCTCACATTTTTCCAATTTCCCTGAAAGCACAAACAGAAAACGAGACAAACATTCCTAAAGATATAATAAACTAAACCTTTTTGCCAGTTTATACATAAACCCTTCCTTTTAGCCAGGTAGCTTATAACCTTTTGATGAATGCAAAACTAAGCCCACAAAGACCTAAGAAATGTTCTACACATCAAAGGATAGCACAATCTTCAGAACAATCCTAAAGACTTCCAGGGGAAATGAATAAAAAATTATAGAACCAGTCAGCTAACAACAATTAATTGCAAGTGAACTATACTATAACAATAATTCAGCTCCAACTAAGTACCTGGAAGTATTCAGGCATCCATAGAGGAAGAACAACAGCTTCCTCTAAGAGTCTTTTCGCTTCATTTAAACCTGCAACATCATCCCACCGCACTCCAGGACTGGTTTCCAAGACATCTCTTTCAAGCATTTCAGCCAAGTCTGGGTCAGGTCCCTCATACTGTCCCCTCTTTGACTTTCCATCTTCAGCATCACCATTCTGAAATATACATCAAAATCAATTAAAAAAAATTTAAAAAAAAAAAAACCAGCAGATCTAGAATTATAATATTTGTCTACAGCACCAGGAGGTACACGATCTTTCAGAATGAAAAGATTGCAGCACTTAGTAGCACATCATACACCATGGTGATTCATAGTGATTTCGGATCAAATCACCATTGAGTAAGGATATTTCATCACTGCACCAAGTGAGGATAAAGTAAGATCACCCTGAGCAGTGATCTGCAACTTCACTAATTTTCTAGGACAAGTTGTCCACATATAGGCACACACACAAAAAAATGTCCTGAAATATTTGTTATTTTTGGAGCTCATTTTTTCCCCTTTTAGAATGAGGCAGATATACATGAAAATTAAGTGATCAAATAGGTTAACCTATGTTGGCCCAATTTCCTCTTTTTTTTTTTTTTTTTTTAAAGAGTAAGTTTTCAACAAAATTGCATCCAAAATAATGTCATTCCACCTAAGTATTCCAAAATAAAAGGATCATTCAAAACATCTCTTAGATCAGGACACTATAGTAGAGTTAATTCAAAGACTAGCCAGACAGCTTATTCTTAAAGTAAAACAACAAAGATACACATTTGGATCCAGGAGAAATAAGACAATCATGCATAGAATAGAACTATAGAAGTAATACGAATTACCAAGTTAAAACAAGTAAATTATTTGATCAATTCTTCAATGATTTTCACTTGATGTTTATAAATAATTGTTGTTTTTGTTAATGCTTGAAACATTCATGTGAGCAAATTTTAACATGATTATAAAAAGTGAACTGTAATTTAGTTTTGAATTTTTTCCTTAATACTTTTTGGAATCATATGCACAGCAATGTAGTATCCCCATTCCACACCATACATGATACATCCTCATATCTTCAATCTTCATGATCAATCCAGACCACATCAATCCCAATACCCAAAAATACCTAGAAGTCCTTGGGAAAGAGGTTACAGTGCTTCAAAAATTAACAATACAACTTCCACAAGCTAGAGTTCAAGGTAAAAAAGATAATAATAGAAAAAAAAGTTAAAGATTATTATAGAGTAGAAAATCATTTGGTAGTTTTCAACCGGCAAATCCACTGATTCCATAAAATAAATACAGTGAGCTTTAAATTAAAATCTCAAAAACAGTAGCAAGAAGAATGAGAAATGAACTGTATGATAAAACTTACTGCAGAATCTCCTTTGCTGGACTTTCCAGAACCAGTGCCTTTCTTCGCAGAGGTAGATGCTCGGACCCCTGTGTTTGTTCTACCTGAACCACCAGCCTTTGCACCACGGCCAGTTGCATTTGTCCTTGTAGAACCACGGGCCCAAGCTCCATCTTGGGTTGATTTCCTTGTACCCACTTGGCCAGCCCTTACAGGTCTCCTACTTGTAGTGTCTCGACTTGGAGGCCGCCAAACATCAGGATCATCCATTGGAGCACCTGATGAAGTTGGGTACTCATCTAATGGTTGAAACACAAATGATGATTTAGCATTAATTGGTGGTGAAGAAGGACGCCTGCCATTAGGAGCTTCTTTAAATGCTCTTCTCTCTGCATCCAGTTGCTTTACAACATCTATCTCCTCTGACAGAGCTTTCTTAACATTCATCCATTTTGCACGAATCAATGGGTCATCAAGAGTGCTTAGGTGCCTAAATGTAGACAAATAAGTAGAACTAGTAAGTTAACTCAAACACTAGCGTGGACAGTATCACGGAGCAAAGAGACCACAACAAAAACATTTTAGCATTCAATTCCTAAAGCAACTAGAGCATGTAAGAAACTGGGATAAGCCTACAAAGTTAACATATCACACATGTCTGCTTTCAGGTAAATTCTAGCAGGCATGATGCAGAATGGAATAAAAATATTTATAGTACACAGGAAGATAAGAAATCCCATTTCATGAAATATTTCGTTTCAAAAGAAAAATAAGAAATCTCCTTTTCAATTTAAGTTCCATTCAGCACAACAAATTCCAGTGATAGAAAAAAACAATAATTCATCTCAACAACCATAAAAAGCTTACATCCACAATTTTTTTGTTTGTCCATTATGCAGTAAAACAAACAAATGCAGGACTGATAGCTTAATTTTTATATATATATTTTTTAATTTTCCCATGATTAGGAAACCATTTCTTTCAAAGAAAAATTTAAAAAAACAACACCAATTACATCATTAAGCGTTCTAATCAGCTTAATGGGCATCAAATAAACCAAAAAAATCTCAAAATTTTCAAAAAATCTTATTGCACCAAACGAGGCAACAACAGCAGCTCAAAATGCAAATCCACCAGACAACAAAGCATCAAAATAAACCAAGAGAAAACAAAAAATTTGTGTCTGCCGGTGCTGAATTGTCAACAACGGACACAAAGAAAGGGAATTACTTATTGATCTGAGCAACGGCCCCATCGAAGAAGATAACAGAGGTATCGTAAAGACCCTCGACGGCATATTCTCGAGCCAACTTCACGTGATCTTGCAGCCCCGCCAGCGAATTGCCCACCATTTTTTCAGCTCCACTTCGCTCTAAGCTTCAAAACACGAATCCACCAAATTCTGGTGCGAAAATAAAAACCCTAACTCCCTCTTTTTCTCTTGCTAGGTTTTTTTTCTTGCTCCTTCCTGTTACCAACACGGGTGAAGCAGTGAGTCGCAACGACGGCGTTTAAAACATGGAGATCGGACTTCGGAGTGACAAGGAAGAAGGAGAAAATGAAATTACTGGCTTATCCCTGCATTTTGGACCTTTTATAATAGTTTTTTTTTTTTCTCCTTTTTCTCTTTTTCTGGATTCGGTTTTTTTTTTGGTGGTTGGGTTTCAAAATTTTTGCGGGCCGTTGTATGGTAGGGTCCATGGGTGGGCCCATCATAAACCGGAAGCCATTAATACTTCTCTTGCCTCTTTGCCACTTTTGCCGTCTCTTATTAATTTGCCTTTTCTTTTTATCAGTGAACTTTACAATTGTAACGTTAGTAAATCAAAGATGCTATTAGAACAACTTTAACTTCAGAACTCAGTATTGAATTTGACGTGATACCGAATT